CGTAATTAATATATTATATTATTTATTAGGTTATTTAATATATGTATTTTACTAATTATTTATTTGTTTATTATGTTATTTAATATTGTTTTGGTAAATATTATTACTTATTATATTATTTAGTATATTTATTTATTATATTATTTAATACATTTATTTAATATTTGATAGATGTATATATTTAGTAAATATTTGTTTATTATATTATTTAATATATTTATTTATTTGATCAATATTTAATTAATACACAAATAAAAATTAGTTATATTATTTATTACATTATTCAATATATTTTATTATTTAGTAAATATTTTTAATAAAGAAATAAAATTTAATCATATTATATTTATTTATAATATGTATTTACTATATTAATTAATTTACATATTTATTTAGTAAATAATTATTTATTTATTATACTATTTAGTTTATGTATTTATTTGGTAAATATTATACATTATATTATTTAATGTATTTATTCTTTTGGTAAGTAATATTATTTATTATATTATTTAATATATTTATTTATTTGGTAAATTATATTATTTATTTTATGCATTTCTTTGATAAATATTTATTTAATATTAAAATTAATTTAATTAAGTATGTTAAAATATTTATTTAGAAAATAATTATATACAATTTATTTAATATATAAAAAAAATTATTAAAATACAAAGTAGTACAAATTGAATAATATAAATTATTAGATAAAACGATGTTGTTAGATATATAATTGAAGTTAAATATTTAATAAAAAGTGTGCTAGCTCAAGTGGTCCATGAGCTCTTTTACTCCCCCATTGGTCTTGGATTCGAATCCTCTCTTTAGCATATTTTTTACAATTATGCCACATAATCGCCACCTAAGCATACAACTCAGCAAAAAAAAAAATCGAGCGAATTTCCACGTAGGCAGCCGGTAAATCTGACCTGCTGTAGGCGGTTAGAGGACCAAAAAACTAATTTTTTTTCACTTAAGAGACTATTTCCAAAAACGGTGCATTTACGGGACCAAACTGAAAACGGCCGACAGATAAAGGACAAAAAAAATCTTTAATAAACGTGAAACTAACTCTATTCTTAATATTAAATAATTATTAGATCGATTAAAAAAAAGCAGGCATCTATATCTATATCTATATCTATATCTATCTATATCTATATCTATATCTATATCTATATCTATATCTATATATATATATGTATATATAAAGTGGTTGTTGGAAAATTCATTTTTAGAAACTTTGACCAAATAAATAAATAAGTTGACTTTCTATGTTTAGACTATTTAAAACAATGGATAATAAACATAATAAAATCTAAAGATAAGGCTTTTCAAATGTTCAAAAATAAGGGTAAGGGCCATAATAATCGAACTTCAAAACAAATTAATTAAAAAATTGATATTTGAGTCAATCCAACAATTGATAGAAATTGTAACAGAAAACTCAAATATTTTAGGACCACATTAGAATTGCATTTATGAAAATTTCACACCAATCTTATCATAAAGTTTCCACATTAATTAAACTTCTAAACAAATAAATCAATAATTTATAATACAGTTCATGTACACTTATATTATCATAATTTAAACAAGACGTGTACATTACCTCAGTTATCATAATTGAAGCAAGTTTAAACAACATAACTAGTATAAGAGTCCTTAATATTTGACATTAAATAATATAATAATGTAGTTTATCATGCTATAGTACTAACATAAATTGAGTTAATGAGGAAACACGTGTAATGGGCAAGTTAAAACACATTATAAAATCTAAACAACTCAATCAATTGATTAATTATCTAAATCATTTTAACTTATCTTATCATCAAATAACAATTATTCAAAAAACTTAAAATGACATTTAATTATGACACATGTGTACTAATTGGTCATCTTTCTACACGGATAAAAAAACTTAACAACTTAACTAATTCATTATTTTTCAAATCATTGGACTTATCTTATAATCAAAACACAATTTGTTCAAATTCTTATTTTAAATTAATCTAAACATAAATGTACGAATCACAATATATGTGATCGATTTGTTTAGAAACATTCATTTTTTACAGTTAAAAAAAATTAAAAAAAAAAATTAAAGAGACGACCGACACGACATAGAGAATTGGTCGGGGAAGGAGAGGAAAAAATGAAATGAAAACCCTGAAATCCGGACTTATGGCCTAATGTTTGTTTAATTAGTGTCGATGTTATGGAACATAGTCCAATACTTGATATATTTTATGGAAAATGGTATAAGTATATAATAGATGTACATATATGTGTACATAATACTCATATAGAATGGAGCCCACTTGATTTTTTTATTTATGGTGGGTCTCACTCAATATGAGTGCTATTTACGCCGTATGTACAATATTATGTACCGATAACATTTCTTTTATTTTATATCCAATTAAATAAATGTTATTGTAGTTGATTATTATTATTATTATTATTATTATTATTATTATTATTATTATTATTATTATTATTATTATTATTATTATTATTATTAGCCATGTCATTTCAATTTTATTATAGCTATATACAAATTATCTTCAAAAAAGCACATAAATTATAATTTTCCCGTGCATCGCACGGGGATTACTAGTTTATTTAATAAGAAAAAAACAGCAAAACAGAAAAGGGAAAGGGCATTCATTTCACCATGGCTCCATGAAAACCCTGTCCTGTATCATCAGCGAATAGCAGGCCGCCAGCGAGACCCCGTCCTCATTTAGAGTCAAATACAGCCGCACCGCCGCCTCCAGCCCGTACCTCCGCTGACCGCCCTCCGTAGTGCAGGTCAGAACGCCGTGCGCCGCCAGGAAACGGAGGATCCGGTCCACCATAGCCGCCGCATCAGGGTTTTTCGTCGGGAGGCGCGCGGCCAGCTCGGAGGCCGAGGCGGCCGGCTCGGCTTGCTTGATCAGCTCAAGGAGGTCGAGCTCGACCGCGGCTCGGAGGACCATGGGAAGGACAGAGCCCGCAGCCAGCTGCATTGCAAACACGCCAGCTTCTTCATCATTGTCTTCTGGAGGGGATCGGGCCGCGGGGTTACTGGTTTTCTCGCTGTTGGAGCCCATTGGGTTGATTAAATTGGGATATATTGTGAAGAGGAGAACTATGAATATAATTTGGTAAAGGCAACTAAGCTATATATGGCGAGATGTGATTCATGTGATAGAGTGGGAATGGTGGGCTACAAATAACTGAGGATAAATAAAAAGGTTGGGAAAGAAAGTTAATGGATGGGAGCCTGGCAGTGGCTGATATTGTTGTCCTTTTTTTTTCGTTTTTTGGAAAAATAAATATAGGGAAATGCTGCAGTCTCATTATGGAATCATTCTGTCGAGATTTATAACCGTTAGATTATCATATAACCGTCGTGGATAGTTGATCTAACGGTTACAAACTCCGACGGAATGTTTCGGACTGTAGAATCACCCAAAAATATATACCTACTTTTTCTTTAACAATTTTGATTTTGGTGTAGAAGACAACTCAAGTTTGGATGTGGGGTAGCATTTTTTCCAAGAGAAACCCGTGTTTTTACTTTGAAAGGCTGGTGAGCTTGTGCTACTATTATGGAGTTCCAGGCCATATTGACAGATCTTGTGAAAAAAGAGTGTTGACTTCGGAGGGCATGTTTGTATGCAAATATAACCACTCAAAATAAGTTTTTTTTTTTTTTTCTAACCAGAGTTAATTTTGAAAAAAATAATATATTGTTAGTTGTTATTAGGATTTAAATTTTATATTTAAAATAATATTTAAAATAAAATACTTAGAATTGATTTTATACAAAAGTATGAGAGATATAGTGTGAAGTGATGGTTAGTTAAAATTATGTGAGTTGATGAATAATAAATTAAAGTTGATGTGACGTGTAAGAATAATTGATTGATATTATAAAATTATATTTATAATATTGAGGACGGTAAAGTTAGGTTAATGTTGAGTTAAATTTTTGTAATATGAATTAAGTATAAACTGAGTAATTTTATATACAAACACACCCTAAAACTCAACAATTGGTACAAAATTTTTAACCATATGGTCAAATAATGTTCAACTCCTACACTAGGTAAAAGCCACTACCACTTAGAGAATGGTAGTTGTATAAATAGTATATTTCTATTTTTGTTTACTTTATTCACATCCAAAGTTTTCACACATCAATGATAGATGATGGCCAAATCGAAGATTTGACTCTTTTGAAAACACACAAAAGACCCAAAAAAACAAAGAGAAGATATGTCGAAACTGAGATATAGCAATAAGAGAAAAGAAGAAAAAGGATTTAATAGAGAAACTCCGAACATTTGGTGATCACAAATGTGTCCATATTAGAGAAGATGTGTAGAAACAAGATATCCAGCAAGAGAAAGGAAAATGATTTAATAGAGAAACTCCCGAACATTTGGTGATGAATCGCAGATGCGTCCATATCCATGGTGCAAAATATTAGTAAGCTCAATAGATGATTAACTAAAATTTCAATATTAGAACACTGGTCACATATCTGAGCTCAAATCGCAACAATCCACCAAAATTATGTAAGTTTTGAGTTTTGACCACCACAGAGAGGGGGAAAGAAAAAGCTGTCAAGAGACCGATTCAAATTTAATATCTATTTAACTTTCTTATTTCCTCCATTTTTTCTTTTCATTAAAGATGCTATGATATGTTGATGACTGCAGACTGATCGCCAGCTGCCCTGCTTATGATGCAACAAAAACGTTGAGAAAATTAAGAATCCATAAATGGGGAACACTTCCGGCAACCTAACTTTTTAACGCATCCGAACAAACAACTTTAAATAAAACGAAGTGAAAGTCCAAAAAAGGAAGAAAGAAAGAGCGAATATATTATATCAACACGGCTCGTATCGAACCAGATTTATGAAACAGCATTCTACAGAAAGTAGTTGAGACTAATTGGAGTCCCTTTCAACACAAACAGTGTCAAGCCACTACACATTTTTAACCAGATCCATCCTCTTTCCCATCATCCATAGCAGATGATGCTGCCCCCTGAGATGTGGCACCAGTCAACACCTCACCTGGGGGTGGGTGGTCAAACTTGCATGTGGCTCCGAATTTGCACGTCCCAGTCTTCATGTAATAAGGGCAGTGTATAGCGCCCTACAAGCATGATTACCATAGTTATTGGCACTTTTTCCAAACAAATAACCTAAGAAAATGAATGCGTTTATATATATATATATAGGGTTAAGGTGGAAAATAGATTGAAATGCATGATGTTGCCGTGTTAAAATGCTTAATAACATCATTGATGAACATGTTATAGTATCGTTTAAAAGCATGCACAGCAGTGCTACCAAACGCGGATAGTACAAGCGAAGAAAATGAAGAATTCACATCAAAACCCGACAGTTGAAAATCATCAGATTATCCAAAGAACTGATTTCTCAAAGTCCCGT